AAGTATGATGTCACTCGTCCTATTGATCCGCACCGGGTCGACGCCGAGTATGGCAATCAGGGCACGGACTTCAAGGGCGCTCCGCGTGAAGGGTATGTTCTCGCTCTTTTCCCAAATGTGGATAACTTGGATGCTAATTCGATTACAGATTCGGCTGGGTGAATGCCAGTTATGTTTACGGGCTGGAGATTCTCAATGCCCACATGAGACGCTCGTTGGGAACTATCACTCCCTATGAGACCTACCATAAGGCAGTCGTTGCTCAGGACGCATATTGATTGAATTTTATGTTGCTGCTACAGTCAAGATTATTGCACAGGATGTGTGGTCGTGAGCAGTGAGGACGAGAAAAGAAAATGCATGGTAGAAGTGAGCAAGATATTGGATTATGGACATCAGGCAGTGTTTACTGTCTAGCGTTGGTTTTTCGGTTACAATTTGACTCTCAGTCTTTTCCCCTTTGCTAAAAGAATATCGTTAAAATAAGCAAGAATGGACGCCAACTTGTATCCTCGTATATGCCGGCAGATGTATGCTTCGTGCATGCTATGGTCTATGATATGAGAACCCTGCACAGTGGAAGTGATGACCCCGCCAAAGGAGCTTGACTGGCTGGGGTAAACCCCAGAACCACAACCCGAACCAGATCGAAAATAAGCCGGTGGATGCCTCGGCAGAGCAACACGTCCCCGACCGAGAAAACACCGTCAGAGATCCCGAAGGCGTCATGGTAGTGCTCTCCGCAGGAGATCGATAATATGACGGGTGGGGGGTTCCCTTGTTTTCCCGAGGTTGTTCTCGTGGCCTCTTGTGGCTGAGGAACTGGGGTATGGGTGTATGCACTTGTTTTGAGGTCATCTAGCATTCTTTTTGTTCGAGTATTTGTTTAGGTATGTGGGCGGTGTTCCAAGGTTGTCTCGTTAAGCATGTCTAAGGTTATCTGATATCCAATATTCATCCATGGAACTTTCCAAAGTTGAAAGCACGCGATTCGGATTATAAGAAGTACGGAGTACGGTACCAGGATGTTTGTATCTTACACAGAATTCAAAGATACCTTGTTTCATGTTCATATGTTCCAGACTATATTTTTATTATATACTCCGTAGTTGATCTAGCCTTATCGGCGCTGCGTGCGGTTAGTTTCCCAGGTTGGCAAGAGCTCAGTTGTGCCGAGGTCCAACTTGTAGGGCGGTTTTGAGTCATTTTTTCTTCGATCACCAGGGTGGATCTCTTGCTATTGGATAGATGCATGTGCAGGTCATTTGGAAGTGTCATTACTTCCGGTCTGATTTCGTGTAGGTGCTGGGATGTGGTAGTATATGTATCCGCATAGATGGACAGCGTACAATATAGTGAAGATTACCGAGAGAAGTGTGCAGCTTGTTTCGATTACAACTGAGAGCTACGTCTATGCGTATAGCATAGCATTAGTAGATAGAAAAACACAAGACATAAACCCCGAAAATCCCCGAATAAATTACATTATGGTAGAAACGCCTAATGCAAGGATCTCAAGGATTTGCCTGGTGGAGACCGGTCGAATACCGGGGCATGACAGAACGGCAAAGATGACCCAGGCACACATTGTTTCTGAACAGTGTTTCTCTCCGAAATGACAATGACTTTCCGAATTGGTTAGACTGCAGCATATATACGGAGTGGTAGGTATGCATTACGTAGATTTTGTAGTCTATTTGAGACTATTCCTAGCTGATGAACCTCCGAACGTGATGCACGTGAAAATTACCGTACGGGATATCTCGTATTGCCACAGTAATGGCATGTGTTCTTAGACGTCATCCAGTTAGTTCTATTCAACGAACATTAAACATCTCACATCAACTTGAACAATCAAAGAAAAAGAAGAGGGAAAAACACCTGGAATGAAATTCTCTCTACATTCCAGTGAGATGCCGATTATTGTGACACCAATGAAACATTTGGCGAAGTCAGCAGTGGCAAAGGGGTGTCCCATTAGACCGAGGATCATCAGAGCCTGGATCCTCTGTTCCGAGATCAGTTGTACCCGCCTTCCGCCTTTCGGAACGCTTTGCCCGTGCATTGGTCGAACCTGAGTGAGTCTGAATGAGAAGAGCCCTGTAGTACCTAGGCATTGGAGGTGGCTCCCGGTGAGCCGAGCGTTTACCGACTGTGACGCATTTGAATGTTTAATAAGTACCCCGGCTTTCTCTGGCTTGTGATCGGATTCTTCTTTTTATTATAGCTTCGCTTTTCCTCCCTTGCCTCTATATCCTTTTCTTTCTTCTATACTGGGACTAGCATTGAACAGACGTGACACTTCCTGCACGCCTGAATATACTATCTGACTATATTTGTCCCTTTTTCTGTATTATATCAAAAGTCATGGGTCTCCACGAAGATGAGGACCGCCAGTTCGCGGCGGACGTTCAGGCCGTTCAGAACTGGTGGAAGGACTCTCGGTGGCGCTACACCAAGCGGCCGTTCACAGCCGAGCAGATTGTGGCCAAGCGTGGTAACCTGAAGATCGACTACCCATCCAATGTGCAAGCTAAGAAGCTCTGGGGTATTGTGGAGTCAAACTTCCAGGTAAGTTTAGCTGAGAAATATCGACCGTCCGCAATTCTATAGATACTAACTATACACTTCACGAACAGAACAAGCAGGCCAGCTACACCTATGGATGTCTTGAGCCTACCATGATCACTCAAATGTGCAAGTTCCTCGATACTATTTACGTCTCTGGCTGGCAGAGCTCGTCTACCGCTTCGTCAACCGACGAGCCCTCCCCCGATCTGGCCGATTACCCCATGGTACGTTGAATATACTGGCGAGATTAAAGTTGGAGTATACTTACAAGTTCTCTATAGGACACTGTGCCTCGCAAGGTCAACCAGCTGTTCATGGCACAGCTCTTCCATGACCGTAAACAGCGCGAGGAGCGCGTTACCACCCCCGCGGGCCAGCGAGGAAAGGTCGCCAACGTCGACTACCTCCGTCCCATTATCGCCGATGCCGACACTGGACACGGTGGTCTGACCGCTGTCATGAAGCTGACCAAACTGTTTGTCGAGCGTGGTGCTGCCGGAATCCACATTGAAGATCAGGCCCCCGGCACAAAGAAGTGCGGCCACATGGCCGGCAAGGTCCTCGTTCCCATCAGCGAGCACATCAACCGCCTGGTTGCCATCCGTGCCCAGGCTGATATCATGGGCTCCGACCTCCTGGCCATTGCCCGTACCGACTCTGAAGCCGCCACCCTCATCACATCTACCATCGACCACCGCGACCACGCCTTCATCGTGGGCTCCACAAACTCAACCATCCAGCCTCTCAACGATCTGATGTTTGCCGCTGAGCAGGCTGGCAAGAACGGCGCCCAGCTGCAGGCGATTGAGGACGAATGGACCAGCAAGGCCGGTCTCAAGCTCTTCAACGAAGCCGTCATCGACACTATCAACGCCGGCTCCCACGCCAACAAGAAGAGCCTCATCGACCAGTACCTCACTGCCTCGAAGGGAAAAAGCAACACCGAATCCCGCGCCATCGCCAAGAGCCTCACCGGCGTCGACATCTTCTGGAACTGGGATTCTCCCCGTACCCGCGAGGGTTTCTACCGCTACCAGGGCGGTACTCAGTGCGCCGTCAACCGCGCCATCGCATACGCGCCCTTCGCCGATCTCATCTGGATGGAGAGCAAGCTGCCCGACTACAACCAGGCCAAGGAATTCGCCGACGGCGTGCATGCCGTATGGCCCGAGCAAAAGTAAGTTCCTTCTACCTTTTGAGTTTTCCGTCATACTAGAACCTCAACTAACAAACCCCACTAGACTCGCCTACAACCTCTCACCCTCCTTCAACTGGAAGAAGGCCATGCCCCGCGAGGAGCAGGAGACTTACATCAAGCGTCTCGGCGCACTCGGCTACTCGTGGCAATTCATCACCCTGGCTGGATTGCACACGACCGCGCTTATCTCGCACCAGTTCGCCAAGGCGTACTCACAGAACGGCATGCGCGCCTACGGCGAGCTCGTTCAGGAGCCTGAGATGGAGCAGGGCGTTGACGTTGTCACTCACCAGAAGTGGAGTGGTGCCAACTATGTTGATAACCTGCTGAAGATGGTTTCTGGTGGTGTGAGCAGTACTGCTGCTATGGGTAAAGGTGTGACCGAGGATCAGTTCAAGAACTGATTTATGGTGGCGGCTCATGTTGATACCCTGATGGTCTTGGCTGTCTATCGCTATATATGTGCTTGATGTCTTGTTTTACATATGTTGATTGGGGCGTTTTCCTTTTTCTATGCAGTCTTGATTTGATTCCCTGTCGATCTTGCTCTCCTGTTAGATGAGTGGGTCGATTTATTTTGCATTTTGGAAATCATAGCATGATTGATTCTTGCCTTGAATGAATGTGATTTTTTGAAGGTATTCTGGTGAATTTGTAGATGGAAGCCTATAGAATAGCTCCATAATGCTAAGTTCGTAAACAGTAACTGTGATGTTAAAATTATATCGACTAGTTATAATGATGGTAGTTAGTGTAAGCAACGCTGCCAACCTATTCTCTTTTCTATATAGTAGCCCAATACGCTCTCTGTCTTCCAAGATGCATATGGACCTTTCATTTCACACAACACCGGCATAATAGAGCCTGGCCTAGGTATCACCATAGAGAAGTCTAAAGATATGGCTGTAGATGAATAATCTACCCAGGTTTCGAGGTGCGGGCTGCAGAGAAAAAGTTATCGTACGCTGCTGTCACTGTCCTGGTGCGACCATGTATATATGCATGTGATGTGTACATAGCTAGCCAGCAGAACGACCTAGTGACTAGATACCAAGTGATCAACAGTGATCACGGTCCAGAGTAGCTATGTACACATTTTACAGAGGCTACCTGTCTTCAACCTTCTGGCTATAGAAATTGACATGGGGAAAAGACACCAAAAAGACATGAAAAACATAGCTCGATCCCTCTTCTCTCTTCGCGTCTGAGTTTTTCAACCCACCTGGGGTTACTATACATCAGGGAAAGCTGTGCTCGTCTGCTTAATCTGTTCGAAAATTTGCGTGACGGCGTTTTGCCCTCGGAAGATCGCAATCCGAGCCGCTGTCCACTTTTTATTTCCCGTTGGGAGGGAGACATCTGCGCCAGCATCGAGCAACATCCGGACAATCTCATCATGGCCGCATTCTGCCGCTGCCGAAAGCGCTGTATACCCATTATAATATGAGCCTTGAGCATTCACATCGGCTCCTGCATCTAGCAGTTGACGAACAATCAGGCGGTGGCCTCCAAAAGCTGCGGCTTGAAGGGCCGTAAAGCCACGATACCTTACGGCGAGGGCATTTACATAGGCTTTGCGGTGTAGGAGGATCTCCACGATATCGGCATGACCATTCAATGCGGCAGCTTGAAGCGCGGTGAGGCCTAGAGTCCTAGCGGCAGGCGTGTTAATATCTGCGCCTTGCTCAAGCAGCCAGCATAGTAACGCGATATGGCCCCCCTCGGCGGCAGCCTGTAGGGCAGTTCGGCCCATATACGGGTGGACTGGGCAGTGGATATCTGCACCCGCAGAGACTAAGTGCCTGACGATATTCAGATAGCCCGCCCCAGAGGCCAGTACTACCGCTGATCTGCCGCCGTTGTTTCCCCCAGGAGCGTTAACGTCTGCGCCTGCCACTAACAGCATCTCGACCACGGCAAGATGTCCATTATTAGAGGCAGCCTGAAGGGCTGTCTGCCCATAGTAACCTTTAGCCGGCTCATTAGGGTCTACTAGCTGGGCTAAGAGCCCCTGTACTTGGCACAAATTCCCTTGTGCGGCGGCAAGCTGAATAGGAGACCATCTGCTCTCATCGTCTGGTTCATCTAGTTGATATTGCCGGTTTGATAAAGGTCGACTTTCCTGCATCTTGAGATTTCTTTTGTGGTGCCACTCGGCGATTATATATATTGTTTTTGTTGTTTGATTGTTCAACGAATATGAGTATTGACTCGAGGGAAGATGCTTATCCAGTTAAATAGCATGGATTCTTGCGAGATAAAACCAAATCCAACGTAATCCAATCAGATGCTAGTAGGTAAAAACGATGTGTAAGCGAAGGAACCACCTGGGCACCTGGGTCGGCCTGGAGTGATTTTTTAGGAACATACCTAATAGAGTATGCACTAAAACGTTGTACAGTGAGACCTCCTAAGTTTTGGGTATAATTTTGTACTCCCATATATAAGGCAGTATGTGAGGGCACAAAAACGTCGTCCAATGTTTTGGAGGACTGTACACGTGCCATACAGAGAGGGGCTGTATTGGGAACGCGGTTGTGAGTGTGACCGACGGAGTTCCGAATGCAGACCGTACCTATAAGATAAACACGGCTAAGCACTAAGCCTAGACACTAAGTCTGAGCACTGCTGTTAAATTGAGGAATATTCTGTGGCTCAGACCTTGTCATGCCTCGTGAGCATTTCGTTATGAGATTACGCACATTTATCATTTCGGTGTCAGCTGCGTACATAATGTACCTGCGTGGAATATATTTCCTGATGCTGCCGTCATCATTGCATTCAAGATACGCAGATTATCTCTGACAACCTTAGTTTCATTTCTAACATATCCCCATCGTTGTACGAAGTCAAGAGCCATGCTGTCGTATCACTGGACAAAAGGATGAAAGGATGAACTATAGAATAGCAAGTGCTGTGGGACTACCTGCGAAGAAAGTTTATGATATTACATCCGATGCTATGCATTAGTTTACTATAAGATGAAGTTGTCGTGCCATTCTACACATGTAAACCGCCATCTACTGGGTGGCTAGAGATAGCTTGTAAATCTCAAAAGCTTTGCTGCTGAGTGAATGCTCTTTCTCGGGATTTACATCAATGTACTGTGAAAATCCTTCAATCAAGTCGCGTGCTTAGATCTATACTCAGCGTCAGCCACACCGGGAACGTACAGATGCATGTGGTATCCATGGCGCTGTATCACTTAATACTCCACCGTTGATAGCCATCCTAATGCATGTGGTCCAATGAGTATTAGCAGTCACTCGGTACGACTGATATCACCAGCCACATAGCCACATAGCCAGCACGATGACCGTGACCCCATTCTTAGACGGCTATGCATATAAGTTTATAACGGTGGATATAATTGGCCAGGGAAAATCGGGATTCATGCTTTATTTACTAGCATAACTCACCCGATTAGCTACTCATCCTAAGAAATGGTATCTGAGTTGTGCCAACATCTGGTAGAAATCGAGCAACGTAAGGCCGAGCTCGATTACATAAACGCTATGCTCTTGGAAGGTTAGACATAGAACTTGATTAGGTGGTCCATTATCGGGAAGCTAAGAAGGTGGAAGATTTTAGCTGGAGCGTTATAGCGGTAGTTATTCATAGACGTCTGCCTATACAATGAATAGAGGGCTAGAGTAGAGAGAAGACACCAGTGATACAACTAGACTAGTAATCCAGTAGAGCCTTCCGAGATTACACAGATATGTACCTGCATATGTAGGATCTTATCTGCACCAAAGAGAGTGTCAGTGTGTTATGCTTATCCCATCATGACTCTTATATTTGCAATTCAACTTAAATTTCTCAAGTTCACAGGGTGAAAATCCCGTCTCCACTTTTTAATTGCAGAGAGCGGGGCACCTCGTGTGAAGCCGCGGCTATAAATTTCTTTAGAACATCTACAGCTATAGAGGTGACACCGAATGGAGCTAAACCTGTAAACCTGTAAACCTGTAAATATGTATCTATTCCTACTTCAAACCAACATATAGAGAAAAAAAAAAGGAAAAGAGTCAATCGGGCCAAAGACCATAACTAGAATGAGCCGAGAGCTTGGAGCATGTGCGGAGCCTTAGCACCTAATAGGGGTAGTGGAGCTAAGCCTAGGTAATTCCTCAGAACAGGAGTGGCCGTTGTAGATCTTGTGGAGCGGGGAGACACTTATATACCCGTCAACAACTTCCCACTTTTTTTTTTCCTTTCTATCTTTCTGACCATTTATCTGAATTTATCATCATGGTTGACTTACCTGAATTTAAAGCTACGTCGCTGGACGAGATTCCTGTGCGCGTCTCCACGACACGCAAGGCCTTTAATGAGCACAAGACTCGCGACCTGGAATTCCGCCTCGTTCAGCTGCGCAAGCTGTACTGGGCGTGAGTACTCAATTCTTTTGTCCTTTCGGTCAATTAATTAACACTTTCCCAGCATCAAAGATAATGAGGAGGCAATTATGGAGGCCTGCGCCCAGGACCTGAACAAGCCTCGGTTCGAGACCAACCTGGGAGAGAGCGGATGGATCCTCAACGACATCGTCTTCACCACGCGCAACCTGCGTAAATGGGCCAAGGATGAGAAGGCCTCCGATATCGATCTTGCGTTCAAGTTCATGACCCCCAAGATCAGAAAGGATCCTCTGGGTACTGTACTGGTCATTGGGTACGTCTCCCCTTGCGATGCGATGCGATATGACGCGATGCGCATGAAGAATACCCCGAAGGCTAACAAGTTCTTTCTACTCTAGTGCCTTCAACTTCCCCTTCCAGTTGACCCTCGGTCCCGCCATTGGTGCCATCGCCGCCGGAAACACAGTCGTGATCAAGCCTAGCGAAAATGCCCCCCGCAGCGCCGCTGTCATGCAAAAGATCATCGAGGCGAGTCTCGACCCCTCGTGCTACACAATCATCCAGGGCGGTATCCCAGAGACACAAGCCTTGCTCGCCGAACGGTGGGACAAGATCTTCTTCACAGGCGGCGCCAACGTCGGACGCATCATCGCCAAGGCCGCTGCACAACATTTGACCCCCGTCGTGCTCGAGCTGGGCGGCATCAATCCGGCCATCGTGTCAAAGAGCGCGAACCCGCGTCTCGTCGCCCGTCGCCTGCTATGGGGTAAGCTCCTGAACGCCGGTCAGCTTTGTACCTCGCAGAACTACCTGCTGGTCGACAAGTCGCTCGTTCCGGAGGTCGTACAGGAGTTCAAGAACGCATACAAGGAGTTCTACCCCCAGGGTGCCAAGGGCTCGCCCGATTACGCGCGCATCGTCAACGCGGCCTCTTTCGCCCGTCTCAAGTCCATGCTTGATAATACCAAGGGCCAGATCCTGATGGGTGGTACTATGGATGAGAAGGAGCTGTTTATCGAGCCGACCGTTGTCCAGGTTGACTCGGTTGATGACTCCCTGTGTGTGGAGGAGAGCTTCGGTCCCTTCATCCCCATCTTGCCTGTGGAGAACCTCGACGAGGCCATCAGCCTGGCCAATGGTGTCCAGAGCACACCACTGGGCCTCTACCCCTTCGGTAACAAGGCCGATGTTGAGAAGAGTAATTTTCACTTTTTCCCCCTGTCTTGTATTTGATACCCCGCAAAGACAGATATCTAACCCTCCCTCCTAGTTGTCTCTTCCACCCGCTCCGGCGGCGTTTCCTGCAACGATGCCGCGCTGCACATTCCAACCCTGCCCTTCGGCGGTGTCGGCGAGAGTGGCTATGGTGCTTACCGCGGCCGCTCGAGCTACGATGTCTGGGTGCACCGTCGCCCCATCACCTCCAGCCCAAGCTGGCTGGAGTCCATCCTGGCTATCCGGTACCCCCCGTATGCCGGCAAGATTAGCAAATTCAATGCTGCCAGCACCCTGCACCCCGACTTCGACCGCAACGGTAACAAGCTGAGTGTCGGCTGGTTGCGCTACATCCTCACTCTCGGTGGAGGTAGTGCGAAGGCTGGAGCCGGTAGAGCTACTGTTATTGCTGCCAGTAAGTAATCCCTCTAATTTTCTTCATCTCTTTGCCATTTCTGTGAATATCTTCCACATCTTGCACAAATCTGTCTCGTGGGTGGGTTTAGTCTGGGCCTGGTGACTTTTCTCCTTCAGATGAAGAAGAGGACTGAATTCCGAGATCCCCACACCAGACCCCCCCCCCCCCCCCCCCCGTCTGTGGCTTATATGCTTTAGAATGACGAAGGCGCATAATCCCTGCCTGTCTTATATACCCCCAACCCCATATACTGGCTTAATTCTGTTGTATCCCCTTCGAGGATGTCTCTCCTTACCTATATATTTCCTTGTTGTCACCATCTTTCCTCCTTTCCTTGAACATACTGTCACACCCCGGGAGGAAAAAGATACTCATAATCTGTGAATATTACTGAATCTGACCTTTCTGTCCCCTTTTGTCCCCTTTTGTCCCTTTTCATTCTATTGCATTTCCCCTCTATTTCAATCGCTTCAATCTGCAGATCATACCGATCAAACAATTTGGAATTACAATCTAACCCGTAATAGTTGCCTACGTCGTCCTGCAGGTCCTCGAACGCCAATCGAAATTGTGAACGTTAACTCTTGCCCCTAAACTTGGATACCCGTTTTGATTGACACTATTCCATCCAATCACTCGCTCAGGGTCTACTGCTTTGGTGCTGATCGCTCCTTATTTTGGTATGGAGAAGTTGGGCTTCGGCTTGGATGAGCATGTGTGGATGATATTTGGGATCTCTCTATAGTAAAATAATTTGCCGTGTAGGTAAGTACGCTTTGGATTTAATTGCTCTTAGGTTACTTGTTTTGGATATTTGGGCGATGTGTATTTTAAATTGATTTACGTGTTTTTTGGTTATGGAAGTGTATTGCATACCCCTGTAGGCAAATGTGTACTAGTGTGTGATCTAGACATCATGGCGGCATTGGAGCCTTAACTCCCACAACAGAGAAGGAAGCCTTTGTACGAACTCACTAGGCTACGGCATTCCATCAAAGTACACACCTCTTTGAAAAACATAGACAGATCTAACATTCATATCGTCATTCATGCTGTCTAATGCAGTGATTGTCGAATGCGCTATCCAAACCAGACCAATGCCCCAGTATTTATCCGAAAGAAAGAATCAAG